AGGGGATCACCGATTAAGATATGTCCAGCAGTTATGGCGGTTAGGTCGTTAGCATCTGATGACGTCGGAGTTAGTGGTCTCGAATTCAAAATCGCTTCGATTTCTATTATGAGTGTTTCTAACTCCTCGTATGTAAGACTGACGTTCGATGCACTTCGTTTAAATAGATTTTTTGCTGACTTGACGGCAGCTTCCCACAATCCACCGAAGTGTGGGGCTCGTGGTGGGATGAACTTAAAATCGATATTGTACGAACAGCAAACACCCTGTATTTTTTCTTGGCTTCTTTCATCGAACACGGCATTTTTTAGTTCAGCAAGTTCCTTATTAGCTCCAACGAAATTAGTGGCATTGTCACAGTATATTTTCCGGCACATCCCTCTTCTTCCTATGAAACGTTTTAATGCCATGATGAATGCGTCAGTTGTAAGATCTGTGACTACCTCCATATGTATGGCCTTTGTTGCAAAGCAACAAAATACGGCCACGTAGCTTTTTGTTGGACGTTTTCCCCTGATACGATAATGAGTCCATATTGGACCCCAAAAGTCAGCTCCTGAGTTTACAAATGCTCGTGCTGGTTCAACGCGATCAGTTGGCAAGTTTCCCATGATTTGATTTAGTAGTGTCGGTTTCGCCTTGGTGCAGATAACGCATTTGTGAATAATAGTTCTTGCTGTCATCTTTCCTTTGAGTGGCCAGTATTGCTGTCGCATGATTGCCATTAATCCTTGTGGTCCAATATGTTTGTTGCGGACATGAGTCTCTTGTATTAACAGCCTTGTTAATGGGCAATCTGGTAGCAAGACTGGGTGCTTCGCCTCAAATGAAAGTGAGGAAGATTGAAGCCGCCCGCCAACTCTTAGAAGACCTTGTTGATCAATGAATGGAGACAAAGCCTTAATTGTACTAGTTTTTCTGACTTCTAAGCCCTTACGAAGTGAATTTTTTTCTTCTGCTAATCCCTCGTCTTGTATCATGCGAATGATCACTTGACGAGCACGTGTCAATTCTACACTGGATAAGTGACATTCGTTTTGTTCCAATGATGCCTTCCGGAGAATTTGTGTGCAACGAATAACATAAGCAGTTATTCTTTCCAATTTGGAAAAGGAATTCTTATGATCGATATTGTGTAAGAAATGTGGTTTGTTGGGATCGATTGTTACTGCATGTATTGATCTCTTAAGTTCCACTTTACATTCTGATCTGGCTTTGAATGGAGCAGGCCATAGTGACTGATGACCATGCAGGAACATAGGACCGTAAAACCATAAGTGGCAGCTGCTTAGTTTGGATGCTTCAATGCCGCGCGATAGTATGTCGGCAGGATTATCTTTGGATCTAACATGTCGCCATTGGCCCTTGCTGGAAATTTCGAGAATTTTTGTCACCCTATTTGCCACGAATGCGTAGTAGGAGGCTGCCGATGAATTGATCCATGCCAACACAATTTCCGAGTCTGTCCATAAATGTGTTGTGGTATCTGTCAACTGCATGCAATTTTTTACCTTAGCTAATAATTGTGCTGTTAGTAGAGCGGCGCATAGTTCTAACTTTGGGGTTGTTAATTTCTTGATTGGGGCTAATCTCGATTTAGCACAAAGGAGGCGGACAATCACTTGTCCGTGCTGCGTAATGGAACGTAGATAAATTACTCCGCCGTAAGCTCGTTCTGAAGCATCGGCGAAAGCATGTATTTGCGTTGATTTTGGAATCTCGTTTCCGAAAAGATGACGTGGCTGTTTTATGTTATTGAGACAGTTTAAGCTTTCCATGTAACGCACCCATTGACAGGTTAGCTCGTTTGACAATTCTTCGTCCCAATCAAGTTTCAGCGTCCACAAGTGTTGCAAGAATAATTTAGCTTCTACTGTGACTGGACTAACGAGCCCAAGCGGATCGAAAATTCGAGAAATGTCGGATGATATACTTCTTTTAGTATATTTGACGTGTTCGTTTTTGTTGATCTGTATCTTAAACTCATCTGTTGTTGGGATCCACACTTGGCCCAATGTCTTAATGTGACCGCATTCCATCGTGTTGAAGTCTAGTTGTACAGCTATGTCGGATGGGTGCAACCCTTCCATTAATTTTGGATGATTGCCGCACCATTTGCGAAGCTTAAAGCCACCCTTGTGCAATAGTTTAATAAGTTCGTTTCGTGCATGTAATGCTTCAGACATACTGTTGAACCCTGTCATGACGTCATCTACGTAAAAATCTCTTTTGACGATAGCTGCAGCTGTCGGGTGCCTACTTTCTTCAATTTCAGCCAACCGTTGCAAGCATTTTGTGGCAAGATACGGTGCTGACGATGTCCCATAAGTTACGGTATTAAGTTGATAAGTTCGAAGAGGCTCATTGTCGTTGTTTCTCCATAAAATTAGTTGGAATCGACGGTCATCTTGGTCCACCATAATTTGACGATACATCTTCTCGATATCGGCCGTGAAAACGAATTTAGATAAACGAAAACGTGTCAGTATAGCGAATAAATCATCCTGGATAGTTGGACCAGTAGCTAACACATCATTTAAAGATATGCTTGTGGAAGTTGGTGCAGAGGCGTCGAACACTACTCGAAGTTTCGTGGTGGAGCTCTCTGGTCGAAGAACTCCATGATGAGGCAAAAAATAACAGGGATGGATTATATCATCTGGGTTGATCACACTCATATGTCCCAGGTTGATGTACTCTTCCATAAATTTATTGTATGTTGTTTTGAATTCAGGGTCTCCGTTGAGACGTCTTTCTACGTCTCAACGGACAGCACAGCAACGAAAAAACGTTGCTGTGCTAATCTTTGCGAATAGCCTAAAGAAGTGACTTCTCCTTTGAATGGTAATTTCACAACGAATCTACCATCAGTTGATCTTGCCACAGATCGATTAAAGTGTTCCTCACATTGCTGTTCTTCAAGTGTTTGATCCGACGAACCTTGCTGTATCTCCTCTAGTTCCCAAAATTTGTGCAGGTCGAGTTCTACATTATTTGTAAGAACACCGCAAATCGATGCAGAAGACGAAAACCCAGAAATCCGACCACTGACCATCCACCCAAACACAGTTTTTTGTAACATTGGATAATTGTTTCCTAGCGAAATTCTCCTTGGCAGAACCATGTCGTTGTATAATTCAACGCCAATAAGAATATCTACTGGACCTGGTTTGTTGAATTGGGCATCAGCCAACACAACTCCTTCTGGTATAGCCCAATTTGATGTATCCAGTTCAATTGCAGGCTGATTTGCAACTATTGTTGGCAACATATGAGCTTCTATTTCAGTTTTGTAGTTAGTTACACTAGATGATATAACTACGTAGACTCTTTTTTTTGAGCACTTGTTTTTCTGACCGACGCCACTAAGATTCAGCGAGCTTGATAATTGAGTTAGCCCAAGTTTTCGTGCTGCTCGTTCTGTTATGAGGTTCACTTGTGAGCCTGAATCCAGTAATGCACGCATCTTGCATTCCACGCCCTGAGAATTCAGAACCGTCATTATTACAGTTGCTAGTAAACCATAAGATTTCTTCAACTCTACGGGTCTACTTGTTGTAAGCGTAGCTGCTGCATGCCCACCTAATTGGTGTGAATCGTTATTTCGCGATGAGTCAGTAGTGACCTGAGACTTGCCATTGGCAGCATAAAGTTCATGTAAAGTTGTATGATGCCTTCTTTTGCATTTCAGACAACCCTGAGATGGGCATTTTGTTGAAAAATGGCCCGAGCGCAAGCAATTTACACAACGTTTGGCACTGAGAATCATATTTCTGCGAATTTCCGGGGGGTTTTTCAAGTAATTTTTACAAGTGGAAGTTTTATGATCTCCCTTGCAAGCTAAACATTTTAACATTCCATTTGTAGTATTTAAACACGCCTTGTTAATGCTCTTGCCTCCAATTGCCTCTAATGCTTGGAAGCGAAGTTCTAAAAATTCCAGAAATTCATTTAACTGTTGGATTCTTCTTGGATCCTTCACGTTCTGTTCATACAAGCTGTGTGTTATTGGATCCAATTTCTTCGTCAAAATGAAAAGTATTATTGGATCCCAGTTTTCGATGTTGATTTCAAGATTTTTAAGTCCAAGAATACACTCAGAAGTTGTATCATGGAGTCGTTTGATAGCTTCAGAGCTTTCAGATGTTATAATTTGTTGAGAAATAAGTTTTGCAATAAATGCATTCACAAGAAGCCGCTTATTATCGTAGCGCTGGCAAAGTAAACTCCAGGCACTACTAAAATTATCCTCAGATACTGTTAAATGAGCAATTAGACGTGCTGCTTCTCCGTCCAAATTCGATTTTAGATAAAACATTTTTTGGCAATTCGCAAGTGATTGTTTATTTACCACTTCATTGAACAAGTCGCGAAATTGCCTCCATTCCAAGTAGTTCCCACTGAACCTTGGTATTATTACTCGTGGTAACTGCATTGATGCAGATGTTAATGTTGAGGTATGCGAAGACGTTGAAGCAAGTTTCAACTCTTCCACCTTTAAGGACATATTTTGGACTTCTCTTTCTAACGATATAAACCCTTCTTCATCATATCCAATAGTTGCTGGATTGGATTCTAATTCACAAATGCTGTAATGGAGTTCCTCAAAATGGGCCCATAAGCGAAGAATAGAATCCTTCAACAGTACCTTACGTGCTAAAGGTATGTCCGTGGTGATGTTAGCGTCAATTAGTTGACGTTTTATAGTTTTGCCAAACTCTTGTTGGCGTCGCATCATTAGAGATAGTTTATTGGAATCACATGAGCTGTTTTTCGTAGCTATTACTTGTGCTTCTACATTCTTATTAGTGGCGAATGAGGTTACGTTTGACAACAATGTTATTTGTTCACTAAAAGTGGCTTCGTATTGTTCCCAAATTTTCAATACCTGTTCATAGAAATTCTTAGTGAAGTATTCATGCGACTTGTCTTCCGAACATTCTTTCTAGAGGGTATTATCATTGATTTCGAATTGTTGCCATGCCTTCTTGAGATCCTGAAGTCGTTTTTCAAAATATGCCGGTGTCTGCTTCCTATCGCTGGAGTCCTTTTTGTAATTTCTGATAATTACTTCGATCTCAGTTGCAATCGTCCTTTGAGCTTGCACGATTTTCTCGATGTTATCCATTGTCCAAGTATAGAAAACAAGAGCGAAACGAGTTTATTGAGCGAAACGGCTTATTATTTTTTATTAGCGAATTTTTAAACACGAAAACGCGACTGACTACGCGATCAATCCTTTATACTAGGGGTCACCAATGAATACGTCTCAATAGCTTAGATGCTAATGATAGAATTGAGTGCAGACGAAACGTCGACTCAATGGATCTTGAAGAGGAGAAACTCCAATTCAAGTGCGCGAACTTTGGATTGATTCCTTACAATTAAACAAGCAGTTTGCTAGTTAGAAACCTTTATTGTAATGAAAAATGTATCTGCAATTTACCTCTTAAATATAAGTGATAAATTGCCGATACGCATATTAACAATAATGCAAAATTAATAATTAAAATAAATTAATTATAAATTGCAAATAATACAATTTAAATAAAATGCAAAATCAATACAATTGAAATAAAATGCAAAATCAATAAAAATTAATTAAATTATTTTTTAAATAAAAATATGAAATGTTCTAAAACAACGTGGAGTGCATTTGCTGACTTCGCAAAATGCAGTTCCAAGCAAATTGCTTTGAACTGCATTGTTACGAAAGAAGAAGTCAACGAACCGGTCAGCCTTGGCATTGGTTTCGGTTAGGAAATAAATGCAAGTCTATCATATAGTTCGTTGACTTGTCAACAGTCGTACCACTAAATTATTATATACTTATTTTTGAAATTTTTTTTTTTTTGCACTACTGAGTGAATAACTCTCGTCCTTTTAAGTCAAATGAAAAAGTTAAAATAAATCGTAATAATCCACTTAATTTTATTTACTTTTTCTTTTTTTATTTTTGCAGGCGTTGATGGTGTCACAACAGTTGCTGTAAAAACTTTGAAGGAAAATGCAGCTGAAGTTGAGAAGAAGGACCTATTATCCGAACTTGAGGTAAGCAAAGCTGTTTTAAATGTGCATGCAAAAGATTAATTAATATAAATTTGAGTCCGAATGTAAATGAAAAGAATGGTGAACGCTGCACACTGTACACTGCAAAATGAAATATGAATGGATTTCTTTTTTCATCTTTTGGGATAGATAAACTGAAATAAGATTTTTTAAGCTTCAAGTATTGCAACAAAAGCTTCATAATTCATTTTTATGACAGTCAACCTTTTCTACTTTTCGCCATTGCAATTTCTTTGCAATTAAGTTTGGTTACTTGAGGCAGCGTGAGCAGTAGTTTAGTCCTGTGTGCGTCCCCTGAGAATTTAAGATTACTTATCTGTCAGAATGTCATTAACACTTTTCAGTTAGTTTCAGTTAGCCAAGAACCACGTTGGCCAGCAGCACAGCAACACAGCAACACTGCAGCACAGCAACACTGTTGCAAAATCATATACTCTTGCCATTGGACTTCCGATCCCACTGTACTTCGCAACAGTGTCCGTTTCAACAGAGTACAGTGTACACTGCGATTTATTTGCGTGGTTCTGATTTTTCAGTAGCTCAGTCGCTCAGTGGTATATTAGTGTATTAGTGTGTGAATGCATTTGCGTTTACTGTACTTGAGTGTATGTGTGCAAGTACATACTTACACAAAATGAAAATTAAAGAATACGAAAAAAAGATAAAAAAAAGAAATACCAACAAAACCATTTTCGGAACTTAAGTTGCCAAGCTGACGACTAACTTCATTGTTATTTCTGTTGTGTTTGGATGGATGATGCAAAAGTTTTATAAATTGAAAATTAACGATGCTGAAAACTTTGCAAGTTTTTTTCCCGCATTTTATTTATTTTTGTAACGACTTTCAGACTTAAGTACGACTAAGGCTTTAGTTCAAATTTTTTCCAACATTTCAACTGATTTCTTAGCGTTTTATCTAAGCTTTGGATTTTATTCATATGCAAAGAAGACACATTGCTTTTCTTAACATTTCTTCTTCTTGCTTGTTTTTTGTTTTTTGTTGTTTTCTTTATTTACCTAATTTTTATTTATAATGGAACTTTTAAAATAAATTTGAAAGCTGCTTAGAGCCAAATGTGAAATTCAATTACCTTCAGCTGCATTCGATGGTTGCGAAAATCCATTCCGCAAATATGTCTGCTCCATAATGTTCCCTCATTTTCTTATGATTTCATTTTAATTCATTTCCCATTCTGCTTTCCCTTCTGTTTCCTCTCACCGTTGTACATAGCATAACTTTGGCAATTAAATTTTATTACAAATCGAAAATAAATATGCGCAACAGTCAAAAACATCAACCGCAGAAACGGCTAAGACACCAGCTATTTTTACCATTTGTAACGGGAACCATATGCACACCACACTCCCACAATCCCCACGCACTACTACATGTCTACTATTAAATAATTTCACTACTTCAGTGCAGTGTAAAATGCCATAATCGACAAAATCCAAACAATGAAAAGGAATTCTGCCGTTGCCGTTGCCGCTGCCGCTGCCGCTACCGCTGCCACAGTTTGTTGTGGTTATTCGTATTGCTTTTCTTTTTTCTTTTTTATTTTTCTTTTTTGTTAGATTTTGTTGTGGCGTTTGTTGTTGCTACTGTTGTTGTTGCTATTATTGTTGAGTATGGACACTTTAGACTGACCCATAAATTAGCTGTTCATAATTTAATGGACCACAGTGGTATGCTATGTTCACTGCTCTTGCTGTTGTTAGTCAGATGTTGTTGGTTTTGATGGCGGCCCAAGCAACATGCACCCCCAAGTAAGTACTTTGGTATTTTCCACCGTTCCCACTCCCACCACCTACTACTTGCTCCTTTCGTTTGTTTTCTTTTTTGTGCTTTGTTAGGAGTGTGCAAAATGGTCATTAAAAGATGATTTTTCTTTTTACGGTTTAATGTGCGCTTTTAAGTTCTACACTCTAATAAATCTCAATAGCGAATTCAAAGTGTAGCGTAAAATGTCAAAATGAGATTTTTTGTACTTCCATTCTCCATTTTCAAGGTTGTTTTTGTTTTCATTTTTGTTGTTATTTTTGTTGCGGCGTTTTTTTTATAAATAAATTAATTTTATGAAGAGATTTATTCTGGCGCTCGTCGCCGTTGTGCTCCTTATTTTGCTGATTTAAATTAATGAGAATTTATTGCCTGCAAAAGGCAATTTTACTGTAGTTAAATAAATTTTTTATTTTTCCATTCCATTTTTATTTTAATTTGGGTAATTTTTTAATTTGAAAAAACAAAAAAAAAAATCGAGAAAGCAAAATATATGCCGTATACGTTGATAAGATAAACAAGTTTAATATAATGTGTTTTTAAAGGATTTAATTGTTATCCTTTTTGGTTAGCACAAAAAAATAAAATGAAAGAGTGAAAAGCGGTTTTTGATAAACAAGAATGAAATGTATTGATTGCCTTAACTGCTTTATGGGTTTATAATTTGAAAGTAAGTAAATTTTTATCATTAATTTAAAAATTTATTTGAAACAAAAGTCCATATGTATATTTATTTTCAAATCTTATAGAAGCAATAACTTATCGCACTTTTTGAAATTTAAAGAGGATAACAATAGAAATTTTTATGAGGTTATGTTGAGCTTTTTTCGAGTTAGTGCATTTGGGCACTTTTACTTTTTGATAGCTGGGGGGTTCCTTAAGAGTCCCAACCATGTCACAGACTAATTTGTGTATTTCTCATAAGCTCTGTGATTATTCAATGACTGATCTAAGATATGCGTACCGCCCCGTGCGGTTAGTGATTACTCTGAGACTAGATAGTGCTAAGTAGGACAGCCTGTTTTCGTATATAGCTTCAGACCTCTGTCCCTTATGAGGTAAACTAATAATTAAAACTTTAATGCTAAATGAAATATATAATATTATACATAATATTTATATGTAGATTTTTTTACCATATATTAGTTTTATTTATTTTCATTTTCAAGCTTTGCGAAGCTATACATTTTATTAAAAATGGTTGCATCCTTAGTTTAACCTTGCCCTTGATTTCAATTAAAGTTTTTTGATATTACTGGAATCCATTTTTGGTTCAACTCGTTCAAGAAACCTCAAATGTTATTCTTGTCTGAATTCATTTCGAGAGTTCATGTTTCGTGCGCTTATAAATTAGAACGTTTTTTGGTTGTTCGACGATGACTACGACGGCTACGACGACTGCGACGACAATTTCATTTGAAAACTCGTTAACACTTCAAGGAAAAGTTTTGCACAAATTACAACTAGATTTCCGGGAAAGTTTTTAACTTTGTTTCTAATAAATTACATAACACAATCATTTGTGCACATGTGCACATACCCACAAACACATACGAACATATATGTAAGAGTGAGGAATTTTGTTATTGTTGCAGAGTAGCAAAACGCTGCTACCAAAAAGGGGAAAAAAAGGAAGAAACATTGGAAAAACTTTGCCCAAATGAGCAAGAGTTTCATTTAGAACACAAATTATTACACATACACACACACACTTATACTTCTGCACTAAACGAAAATTATATGAAAATTAATATAAACAAAATAAAATGAACAAAAACAATAATGTTAAAGCAAAAATACAACGAAAGTAAAGACAGAATACAGACAAATAAAATGCAACAACAATAAAAACGCAAACAAGTGTTGCCACAGCAATTCTCAGTTGTGCATATTTGTTTGAATGAATAACTTTTATCTACTGCAGGCGTAAAATTTTTATGTTTTGAAAAGTTGCCTCATTTAAACGACATAACTTTTGTCATTTCTTTGCCATCATAACGTGACAACACCGCAACACAATACTCTCCTTACCAACATACGAATATACGCATACATGCACCAACGTTCTTCATACATGATATTATCTACATGTGTATGTAAAAGCTTTTTAGCTGCAAAATGTCCGATTACGTATGAAAAGAATTGTATTTTTTGTTTTTTTCCCATAACTTTTATTGTCACAAATTAAATTTGTTAAGTATTGGAATTGTTGTTGTAGTTGTTTTTGTTCTTATTGTTGTTGTTGTTGGTTTTGCTGTTGATATTGTTGTTATAAGGTTTAGGACTTGTCTGAGAGCAGTTGTTAGTTGAAGTGGTTACAATGGCGAAAACATTTGCTATACCAGGCAAAAACCAAAAACAAAAAAAAAGAAAATTTCATATAGAATAGCCACAAAACAAAATGAAATAAAATGAAAATAATTAAGAAAAAAATTATTAGTGAGAAACTTTTTAATGAGAAAACTCAAATGAAAAACTCATGTGTTTTTATGTTGGATTACGTATACCTGTGCTCATACACGTATGTTTCAAACTTTATATGAGAACCCAAAAACATCCTTCTTTTAAGAATTTTTTGTTGTCAACAAAGAGTTTGTTTGGCCAATAAAAGTTACCACGAATTTGTTGATTACTTTTTTCTGAACTCTCTATGTTTTTTTTTAATTGCATGAAATCAAATTTCATTAATTAAATGACATGGAATATGTGCCTAATCGATGAATTGGCTATACCTTATCTGCAATCTATAGAAATCTATATTTAGTACTGCAAGGGTATTTGGAATATAGTGAAGTGAAGTAAAGCATCAAAGATATTATAAAATGTGGATTTCTTAGTTAGCTTAACAATAAAAAATTGATCTAGCAAATATTGTTCTCTCTGTCTCCCTGGTTGTTTGCTATTTTCTACGTTATCTACTCTGATTTTGAAATGCGTGAAAAAAATTAAAAAAATTTTTTTTAAATTTTTAAAGCGAATATGTCTATATAAATGTTGATTCGCCTTTTTGATAGCTAACACCGGCTAAGACCGGGTAAGACCGGCTAACATCGGCGAGTTGGACATTGATTGATAGCAGATAAAAAATTAAAGAAAAGATTATGTAAAAAGATTATACAAGCCGCCGTCGCCAGGCTAAGCTAAAATTTTAATATAAGAGACATAATTTTAATAAAACACCAAGTAAGAAAAGATAAGAACG